CGGCGGACGGCACGCGGCTGGCGTCGGGGTCGGACGACTGCACCGTCCGGCTCTGGGACGCGGCGACGGGCGCGCCGCTGCAGACGCTGACGGGGCACACGGAGTGGGTCTCGTCGGTCGCATTCTCGGCGGACGGCACGCGGCTGGCGTCGGGGTCGGACGACCGCACCGTCCGGCTCTGGGACGCGGCGACGGGCGCGCCGCTGCAGACGCTCGAGGGGCACACGGAACACGTTCAGTTCTCAGCGGACAGCACTCTTTTACTGACCGATTGTGGACGATTTGCAGTATCTCAAGATGTTTCCTATCAGGATCAGGATCACGTGCCACTAGCGCCTGTTCCTCATACTTTGCAACTACGAGGGGAATGGATCCAGTACAATAGTAACGACATCCTCTGGTTGCCGCACGACTTCCGGGGAACATGCTCAGCAGCGTACAGGAAGACGCTTGTTATTGGGCAACGCTCAGGAGCTGTGTCACTTTTCCGTGCATCAGACGACAGCCCCGTAGAGCTTAAGTAGATAATCACTGTATCTAGCGCAACATGTGTGAACTTTTTACCTACTATTTATTCTCAAACCTGCTTCTTCTAAACGATGAACTTGTACTCTCTTCTTCTCTTCTGATTTCTCTCTCAGGAGTGTATCGGGTAGCTACTATTCTTATACCTTCTAGTCGGTAGACAGACCTGAGAGATCCTTCTAGAACAACAGCGCGATCTCAAGTGTAATTCGCAGCTAGCATGTAAACCACAATCCGTAGCTATGGACGTAGAGAACTACATACAAAGAGGCGCCAGATGTGGCGCGGGCGCAGGCTCAAGTGCACTGCATGACTCAGCATTGGCGCCTTTAACGTCAAACACCAGAGCGCGGTCCACCCCACGGCGTGGTCCACGAATTACGTGTCCATAACAACAACAACTTCAACACGCGATGGCACCATCAAAACGCGTCCAAAAGAGCTCAAACGAAGGGAGTGTACTGCTTGCAATATCAGCTTTCAGATCAGGTGACATAGGATCTGTAAATGCTGCTGCAAAAACCTACGGTGTCTCAAAATCAACGCTGCTTCGGAGATTGAAAGGAAGTCCTGCTCGAGAGGACTATATGCCACAGAATAGCAATCTCACTCCAATCGAGGAGGAGATCCTTCTTAATAGCATACTGAAGCAGGATGCCGAAGGGCTGTCGCCTACGCTTGATATTATACGATCTATGGCCAACTCTATATGCAAAGCCAGGGGAAAACCTGATGTTGGCCGGCATTGGCCTAGCAGGTTCATTTCACGCAATTCATCGCTTATAGTACGGACTGGCAGGACCTATGAATGTCAGAGAAAGCTCTGTGAAACTCCGGCAGTGATTCAGGCTTGGTTTGAGCTTGTAAAGAACACTATCAACAAGCATGGTATCTTACCAGAAGACATGTACAACTTTGATGAAACAGGCTTTCAATTAGGCCAGATCTCAACCTCCAGAGTTGTTACATCGTCGGACAGGACTGGCAGACCAAAGCAGATAAAGCCCTCAAATACCGAATGGGTCACAGTCATCCAAGGAGCGTGT